GACACACATATGACATATAGGATATTTATGGATTAGCTTAGGTTTCGATTTGAAACTTAAATATGTTGTAACTAATTAATTTATGACACAATAAAATTAAAAGGATTATTTTAGCTATAAGACATTTCTGAACTCTTCTAATCAAGGTTTAGAAACAGTTTTAAAGTTGGACTTAGACATTTACATTTGAAAGATTGTAACTAATTCATTTAAAACGATTAAGAAAAGAGGCAAACCAAAATTTTAAACTTTTGTTTGATATACAAATAATTTCTTAATCTCGATAAATAGGTTTGATGAATTAACAAAATGACGATATAAGGATGACGTTGAGAGATATCTCAGAGAATGTTAAGAAATATCAGGGGTAATATCTAGTAAAATCAAGGACAATGGTGATAGAGGGGGTGAGTGATGTTATAGTGCATGTTGGGAATGAAGAGTGACAGTAAAAAAGGATATCCTAGACTATATTGACAGATGTTAGTGATTATGTTGTAGGATATCCAAAATTATGTTGAGAGATATTAGGAATGATGTTGACAGATGTTAAGGATTTTGTTAAGAGATATCAAAGACGATTTTTGATGATTTTAACAATGAAATTTGTAAATAATAAGGGAGAAGTCGAGGAAGGAGAATGCTGTATTGAGAGATGTTAGACATTATGTTGAGATATGTCATGACCGTTATTGATGCCATAGTCGATATTTCAGGATGCCAGGGATGATATTGGACAATATTAATGATTTTAACAGATATCACAGTTCGCGTATCAAGAAGGAAGATTGACAATGTTGGGAGATCTTAGAATCGGTAATTACAGATCAAGAACAATATTGATAGATGATGCAGATGTTGAAGAAGGCAAGAATAATGGCAATGATATCCACGATGATCTTGAGGGACGCAGTACAAAATGTTGAGAAAGGTCAGACGATATTGAAAGATATCAGGAACGATGTTGAGATATATCACAGATGATATCTAGGAATTTCATAGATATAGTTTAGAGATAGGTTAATAGATGATGGTGATCATAATGATTTTGAGGAAAGCAGTGTCGATATTGAGGAATAATAGGAACGTGGCTGAAATAATCAAGAACGATATTGATAGATGATGAAGGATAGTTGAAGGAAGTCTGGATAACGTTGAGTGATATTAAAAATGATGTGGTGGAATGCAGTAAGTAATGTTAAGAAAGGTTAAGGATGATTTTGACAGAAGATATCAGTATCGATGTTGTCCCTCAAAACCGTTTCTGTTATCGCTCAATATCACATCCTTTACTTCTCCACATCGTTCTTAACATTCGTTTACTAATATTGTCTTTGATAACTGTCGATATGGTGTAAAACATATCTTAACATCATCTTTGGGACGCATTAACATCGTCTCCGCCACCCATGATCATCCTAGACATCCCTCAATATTATCCCTGGCATACCTGAACATCATCCCGGAAATGCGTTAATATCTTCTCTGACATACCTCAATATATGTATACCCAAATACCTCTCAACATCAATACAGATATTCATTAATATTGTTTTTGAGTAGACAAATGAGACTTAGAGACAGATTTCGTTCTTCGGCTGCAATTGGTGTTGACGGTATGAGAGATCTGAGGGAGATAGTGTCGCGGAGAACTGTGTACCGACGAATTTCATCTTATAATCACCGCTCATGCCGACCTTTACGACTACTTTCTTTGACGCAACTTCACAAAAGAGCCAGATTTCTATGGTGCCTAGAAAGACAAGGTTGAATCGTAGAATGGGATCACATAATGTTTAGCGACGAATCCTGGTTCTGTTTGTGGCAAGATGATCGATGGCTAATGGTAAGAAGATGCCGTGGCGAGCGGCGGAGTGTAGTTTTTGCCCTTCGAGATCACGGCGGCCAAACACCTGGTATTATGATAAATGATGTCATATCGTTAGGGTATAAATCACTTCTAGTTGTCATCCCTGGCAGTTTAAATGCACACCGATATATCCACGAGGTTTTACAGCCTGAAGTAATACCCAGGCAAAACGTACACCCTAACATCATGTTCCAGCAGGATAACGCCCAACCTCATATCGCCCACATCTGTCAGAACTTCTTACACGAAGAAGGAGTAGAAATTCTTAACTAGTTTGCTCGTTCTCCAGATTTAAACCCAATCGAGCATGTGTCGGATATGATACAAATTACTTGTAAAAATTTCAGCTCTGTGACTCAGCTCTTTCGTGATGTTGCAATTTTTTTGGCACGTAGTTTAGACAAACTGATTTTAGAACAAAATAGCAACTCATCTTAAATCTTAATATCCTTTCTTTAAAAATGAATATACAACATTAATTATGCGCTATATTCATAATCTTAATTGGTTATTTGGCTATATCTTAATTATTGCAATCATTGCAATAAATTTATATAAAATAATTTTGTTGCAACAAATTTTGTTTAATAAATTGAAGACTAACCCTAAATTAAGTTGAAGATGGTGACTTCTAACCAGGAACGTAATCGAATTGGACATATCAATCATATTAATGATTCTTGAAAAAGTCTTATAAAGAAATATAGATAATCCACCTGCACAAATCTAAAATAATTGTTCTCTGTTATTATGTTAATCATAAAAAACTAAAAGTATATTATCTTTAAGTATTCGTTTCTGCCTTCAAAATAACAAAAGTTGTATAACTAGATCTGTTACATTAAAATCGTTCTGCCATCGTCTGATGATTATAGTGATAAGTATCATTGCCTTCAGTAAGACAGTGTAATGACAACGTAATTGCTACGACTAGGACATATCTCTGGTGATTAAGCAAAAAAGTCATCAAATTTGTACAAACAAGATATTCACATATCATTAGCAATATGCATTTTAATATTAATACACATAACAATATCCAAACCTATATAGTACATACTCTAGTTGTTGAAAATAAATAATAGATTCGTATAATACTTTTTCGGCGATTCATCTTAATTTAATTAATATTGCTTTGGCTCTCCTGTAAAATTTTATGAAAGTGACTTAACTGATAATTCACTGGGGTCAAAGATATAAGGACAGATTTCCAAATCGTCGGCACCCTTATGCAAAAGCTATAAGATGGGTGGAATAAAGGTCAGTAGAAAAATTTAAATTCCCAGAAATATAAGGACGGCCTTTATCCTACACTAAACGTCGATAAAGAGGAGTAAATTCTTAAAGGGTTGAGATGGTTTCAAATACAAGCCTTGGATTTGTACCGTCGCAAATATTATTCTAAAAGGATACAATTCATAAATTATTAAAAAAGAATAGTTTGTATCTATTTAGATACAAACCGTTCATTTACCATTGTCATTTTTAATGATGTTTTATTACGAAACACATACAACTATTGCTTTCAGACGTATTCAAATATTTGCCTAAAAGTAAAAGGTGACGTGTTTGAAAGAATACTCTGCTCAATATTTTCTCGCAGTTCTGCTAAATTTCTAGGCTTATCAACATACACTTTTCCCTTGATGTAACCCCACAGATAGAACTCATACGGGGACAAATCTGGCGAATGTGCCGGCCTTAGAATGTTATCTTGAAGTGAGATCAACCTACTGGAAAATAATCTTCAGGATGTCACTGATCATCATCAGGTAATATCTCGAAATTAACGGCAACAGCTGTCTTACAGACTGCAGCCCACATAGTTACTTTTGGGCATTAAAGCAAAAATCTTGACGCTGTAATTCTTGAACTATAGCTATTTTCTACGGATGAAAATTCAAGTCCTTACGACGAATTCGTCGAACAATCCTTTCGGACATACGCAGCACCTGAGCATATTAATAGCTGACTGCTGGGGACTCCGTTCAAAAGCATTTCGTACGGTCTCGATATACCCATCAAAGCTTGCAAGTTATGCACTGAGCAGGAATTAGTTCTAAAACACTCGCAAAGTACCGGTTATACCAAAAAAATCATATGTTCAGGCAGTAGTGAAACATTAATTTAAAAGTTTCCTTGTGTTTGATTTAGCCACGCCATGACTACTTGAACCTTATCGACTGTTATTGAGAAATCAATTTTGCAGTGTGGTTTTGCAAGTTCATTCGTTTAATATTATCAGTAATCCTGATGAGTGTCGATGTGGTACTATGATTCAGTTGGCAGCCATATTTGATACCTGAATATGGGCATGCTTTAAATCATTTAGCGTTTTGTGACACTCATCCTTAGATATAAGTAAAACAGAGGTCGATTTCTAGCTGGAGAGTAAAGTCAATTTTATAAAATTACAACTCAAGAAACTAAAACAACGATGGTTAAGTCACGTTCCAGTGGAACTAAATTTAGCTAAATTCACTTTATCAGATTACTGAAATCATTAAATGCAGAAACAGTTAACATTAATCAAGTCCTGGTCAAAAAAAGCCATAGTGTACAATGGTAAAAAACTTTAAAAACTTTTTTAAAAATTAGAACTGCAAGAAATTACAACAGGTGTTTCTTAGGGGTGTCAAAGTAGTGGCATCTAGAACCGAGCTATCGATATTTGTGTCAACTAGTTTTTTTAAATTTGTGGAAGTTAAATTAAGTTTTAAATGGCAAATTATCAATTTAGAGCAACTTTGTGTTGTTTTATTTAAATTAAATACATTTTAACAATAATTTAATGAATTTTGAATTTATGATTAAATCCAGCAAAATTGTGATTATGATAAGAAATTAAACGGTAAACATTTATAATTTCACCAACACACATTATATCAATTGATAGATTTAAGCACGGAAGATCGTAATCTAGCCACACAGGATCACAGTCGTCATTTATTTGCAACCCGACACGAAGGTCTCAACGTTTTATTATCGATTGCGAAATTATACATAATATATATAAATTTTTCTATGTTGCGAACTTGCAAAATAAAAAAAAAAGAAGAAATGGAAAATTCAAAGCAATCTACAATACAAGACACTATATCTTAGTAGCCTATAAGTTAAAAATAATAATGATTGCTCAAAAATTTGCCATAGTAATACATCAACGATCAGAACGTCCTGTCAAAACAACTAACTACTTTATCGTATTGATTTAAAATAATATTAGTGTCTTAAGCACTGCATTATAATGAGAGAAATAGTACATATACAAACTGGTCAATGCGGAAACCAAATTGGTGCTAAGGTAAATCAACATATTATTACTGATCTTCTTGTCAATTTTCTTTCTTTTTAGTTTTGGGAAGTCATTGCTGACGAACATGGCATCGACCCAACCGGAACGTATCATGGTGATTCAGACCTCCAACTAGAACGTATTAACGTGTACTTTAATGAAGCAACCGGAGGAAAATACGTGCCTCGCGCAATTTTGGTCGATTTCGAACCAGGAACGATGGATTCCGTTCGTGCAGGTCCTTTTGGCCAACTTTTCAGGCCGGATAATTTTGTTTTTGGACAAAGCGGTGCCGGAAATAATTGGGCTAGAGGTCATTATACCGAAGGAGCAGAATTAGTCGATTCATGTTTGGATGTCGTTCGAAAAGAAACGGAAGGATGCGATTGTATGCAAGGGTTTCAGTTGACACATTCTTTAGGAGGTGGTACTGGGTCGGGTTTTGGAACGCTATTAATTTCAAAGATACGGGAAGAGTATCCAGATCGGATTATGAATACGTTTTCGGTGGTTCCATCACCAAAGGTGTCAGATGTTGTGGTTGAACCTTATAATGCAACGTTATCGGTACACCAATTAGTTGAAAATACAGATGAAACTTATTGCATCGATAATGAAGCTTTATATGATATTTGTTTTCGCACTTTAAAATTAACGACACCTACTTATGGTGATTTGAATCATTTGGTGTCTTCTACGTTATCAGGGGTGACTACATGCTTAAGATTTCCAGGACAATTAAACTCAGATTTAAGAAAGTTAGCTGTTAACATGATACCTTTTCCTCGTCTTCACTTTTTCATGCCTGGATTTGCCCCATTAACATCGAGGGGAAGTCAACAATATCGAGCTTTGTCAGTTCCTGAATTGGTGTTCCAAATGTTTGATGCCAAAAATATGATGACAGCTTGTGATCCACGCCACGGAAGATATCTCACTGTGGCTGCTATTTTCCGCGGACGTATGTCCATGAAGGAAGTTGACGAGCAAATGCTGAATGTTCAAAATAAGAATAGCAGTTATTTTGTCGAGTGGATACCTAACAATGTTAAAACCGCAGTTTGTGATATTCCACCGAGAGGATTAAAGATGTCCTCAACGTTTATTGGAAATTCGACGTGCATTCAAGAATTATTTAAACGTGTATCGGAGCAATTTACAGCAATGTTTAGAAGGAAAGCTTTTCTCCATTGGTACACCGGCGAAGGAATGGATGAAATGGAATTTACTGAAGCTGAATCAAATATGAACGATTTAGTATCTGAATATCAACAATACCAAGAAGCAACCGCTGAAGAAGAAGGTGAATTTGATGAAGACGAAGATGGAGATGGGGCGGGAGATTGATTAATTTACTGTTTCTAATTAATTTAATTTTATTGCATTAATTTTAATTACATTGAAATGTACAAACGTTTTAGGTGTAATTAAAGTGTATGTAGCTATTCACGATTGAAGACATATACTTGTAATCGAACTAATTAAATTCAAGTACTTTATCGACATATCCTGCAATACCACGAAACAGACTTGATGACCCAATATCCGAAACTTGGGAGAGTTAAATTAATTCACCGCAAATACACTGATTTGTCTCTAGTTGCGAGTTTGATAATGTTTCGATGATCATAAATCAAAATTTACTTACTCTAAAGTTAAATATAAACTACTTAAACAATATCATAAACATAAAAAAATTACATTAAAAGCAACAAATATAAAGTAAAATTTATAGGTTTAATTCACAAATTGCGCCGATCAATCACGGCTACAAGTCTAATAACACTTCAATTTATAAATTACGATGCTAATTAATGCAAATTAACGAATCAATTACACGTGATGCTTTCAATTTGTTGTTATAATTAATTGGTTAATGTTCGTAACGTTTATTAACATCTAATTTTGAAAAGTTTCAACTTTAACATTTCCGAAAGAAAACGTTAAAAATTTAAACAAAAATGAAGACATAATTTTTTAGAAAAACTTTGTACATAAATAAAAACATCTGAATTTACGTTGAAGTCGGAGTTTAAAGATCTTCGCGGTACACAAAAGTAAACTGTACGGAACAAGTTGCAATTAACCCGGCTGATTTAATTTCGAGAAGGGAGGAAATTTCACAATTTAGTTAGGTTTACATTTTCCTCGGTGATGTTGCAAAAGCACGAAAACGAAGAAGACCAGCGTGGCTGCGAGTGCTAATTTTAAAAGAGATGGTTCAAATGGGTATCCTCCGACGTGCTCTCAACGTTCCGTGTATGATAACGTAATTGCAACATAAATTAGTTAAACTTTCTCTGCATTGCGCATTTTTGTTTAGCTTCAATTAGTTTCGCTAATTTCTAAGTAAATTAAGGGAGCAGATTCAAATCAAACGAAAAGTTTCAGTTTCAAAGAAACATCAATAAAAGGAGTTTGTTAATTACTTGTTTATTTCTTCAGTTAAAGAAACAAAAGGTTTAGAAGAGTTGTTATTCTGTTAGAACCGTTTCTATTTTTGTAAAGGAACGTTTTAACTTTTGTTGAACGTAATCGATTTATTCGATATCAAATCAATTAATAAATTATAATTAATCAATTAATTATAAATCATATTGCGATTTTTATAGAAATTTGCTGTTTTGAATTGCCCCTGCTGAAATATCTGGTATCACAATGGTTAGTTAACTGATATTGGGAATTTTTTCTGAAAAATTATTAATGTATGCAATTGCCTTAAGAAATCAAATGTACTAAACGTTAAGACACCAACTTGTCTGAAGGTATCGCTGCACGACTTCGCATATTGTACTTTGATAATATTGGAAAAATGCCATTCAATAAAGATTCAACAGGTTTTGCAGATATAGCAAATGATATCCGAGAGCTATGCGACTATGTGTTGGATTTACAAGATACACTATGCCAAGATCTCCATTATTTAGACACTTAACATGGTTGCATCAGAGCAGAAATTTAGTAATTTCCTTCCTTCTTGAACAAAATTATCTTGACACTGAGTTTCTTGATTATGATGTCCTATAGTTAATATAAGTACGAAATAAATACAATAATAAATAGTAAAATACATTGTAGTAAATGTTAACAACAAATAAAATATTTACAATCTTTTTTTAATAAATATTAATTGTGATTTTAAATTTATAGCAAAAAAATTTTTAATGCATCCTAATTAAAAAAAAAGTATATACCAAGTTTTAAAATGAATAATATAGTCGCCCCTACTCATATCTGCTATCAAACATTCGATTTCTACAAATTACAACAGTCAAACTACGACCAAGACAACTGATCAAGAAAACGTAGTGATATATTTCTACTTCCCGACGTCAAAGGTAACATAAATAATACAAAAAAAACGATATTTCTATGAAGTACTTTAACGAACCTGTTACAGACTGACACTGCTGGCATTAAAACTGCATCAAGTTAAAGCTGATTAACACATATTACTGTACCTCGATGGCAAGGGACTTCTGCAAATTTTGCAACACTGTACGATTTAGCTTGAATAAGCTGAGATCAGTTGCGGTCGAGACTGCTTTTATTACCATATCAAGCTAAAACTTAGATGCAAAATACTAAACTGCAATATGTGCAGTGAAGCTTTAACCAGGTAAAATCATACATTAGCAGCTCTAAACTTAACCGAGACCGCTTGCGGCCGAGGCGCCGAGATTGAAACGAATTTGTTAAATAAGGTGAGGTCGGTTGCGGTCGAGACGCTGGTTTTATTATTATATTTTAACGAAGCCTTAATCAAGCAACACATCAAAAATCATATAACTATACTCTGTTTTTAAACCAGGAGCAGTAAACGCGAAAGTTAGATTTACACTAGGAAAAATCACCAGAAAATATCACTAGATATTTTGGCGGTAAATTTAACTTAATAATTATTATTATTTATTTATTTACTTATTATTGTATTATTTTCGTTTGTTATCGTCAACACTAAACANCATTATTTAGACACTTAACATGCTTGCATCAGAGCAGAAATTTAGTAATTTCCTTCCTTCTTGAACAAAATTATCTTGACACTGAGTTTCTTGATTATGATGTCCTATAGTTAATATAAGTACGAAATAAATACAATAATAAATAGTAAAATACATTGTAGTAAATGTTAATAACAAATAAAATATTTACAATTATTTTTAATAAATATTAATTGTGATTTTAAATTTATAGCAAAACAAGTTGTAATTCAATCGTAATTAAAAAAAAAGTATATAGCAAGGTGATGCATATCTAAATAAATCAAGAGATTGTTTTAAAATGAATAATATAGTCGTCCCTACTCATATCTGCTATCAAACATTCGATTTCTACAAATTACAACAGTCAAACTACGACCAAGACAACAGATCAAGAAAGTAGTGATATATTTCTACTTTCCGACGTCAAAAATAACATAAATAATACAAAAAAAAACTGCATCAACTTAAAGCTCATTAACACATATTACTGCACCTCGATGGCAAGGGACTTCTGCAAATTTTGCAACACTGTACGATTTAGCTTGAATAAGCTGAAATCGGTTGCGGTCGAGACTGCTTTTATTACCATATTAAGCTAAAACTTACCTGCAAAATACTAAACTGCAATATGTTGCAGTGAAGCTTTAACCAGGTAAAATCATACATTAGCAGCTCTAAACTTAACCGCGACCGTTTTCGGCCGAGGCACCGAGATTAAAACCACCTTAAGTTTGTCAACAATACTATACGAATAAGGTGAGGTCGGTTGCGGTGAGACGCTGCTTTTATTATTATATTTTTCCGAAGCCTTAATCAGGCAACACATCAAAAATCATATAACTAGTAACATTTCTGCTCAACAAATACATTTATGCCTCACATAAGAGTATTATAAATTGGATAATTTCTGGATGTTTATATTTTATCTTCTTCATGATTTTCCTATATTAATAATTCGATAGAAACTCGGCTATTTGAGTCTGCAATTTACGAATTATTTAACGATCTCTATGCAAACATTGAGGCAGTTAACAAATTTGCAGTATATAACGTTTTCATGATAGTTTAGGTTAGTGAGTCCGTTTATTACATACCCGGGTTATACCATTCAATCAGATATAATGTTATAATTTTTGTTTTATCTGTTCGTTCAAAGTTCGCATGCTTATAGTGTACCGTTTACTTGATATATTGTACTATAGACTATAACGTACACTGTGCTAATTAATTATCGTAACCCACATGACCTGTGTAATGTTGGCTGCATATCTCAATATGTAGTGGTAGCTTGGATAATTTTAAATTAGTAACCAGATGTTGACAGCTGATCGTACGTTATTCTTGTGATTGTCATACGCTTTGTGAGTTTCCGTATTTTCTTTGTTCTTTACCCGTTTTTGCTGCCTTTATATTTATCGAAACAGTTCTTATTAGAACTATCGTTGTTTCTAGCGGTTGCTTTAAGCGGTAAGTCGATAAACAAATCAAAATAACTACTACTTTCAACATTAATTTCAATCTATGGGTACACTAAAAATTATTTTAAATAAAAGGACAGAAAGTTAAACCTCTTTTTACATTAAAATATTTTTTAAACGACATTTAAAGTTAATGAATTGTCGCCATCGTTTTTAGGAACTTTCGTCGCGTTGCAATACCAATCTGTGATATTGGTTGCATACTTTGTCAGGTATGATAATTAATTAACACACTGTACATGGATTGCAACGTTCGAATATTGTCATCTAAGTTTAGAAGTAATTAGAAATTGCTCAGTTATAAATCTTTTGAATTTGATTAAGAAGATGATTTGACTGTTGAATGGCTGAATGACTACGACGAAACAACACTAGTAATTATGATTAGTTGCAAAGTCATGTTGGTGGTCCATCTACAACAGAAAAATTACCTCATTTGGAAATTGACGTTGACAATTGAGATCTCCTTAATCGGAGAAACCCAGCGATATAGACATGATCGATAGAGTATTAAATGAAGATCAAGTCAATCGCACTAAAGATACGAATGAATCAGACGACGATTTGGGAAATGCATCTTTATCTTTACCTACTTATTTGGAAGCTATGTAAGGTATTAAAACAATCATTAATTACATGGAATATTCTAAAAATTTTGCTGCCAATATTTTGAACAACCCAAAAAAAGTACTGACTTTGTTAAAAAATAAGAAATAAGTATTTGATTCATTTTTATTGTTTACTAATATTTAACTTATTTTCGAATAAAACGTTCATTTTTGAACACGAAATTATTCATTTGATTAACTATACCTACTTAAAAATGATATTTTATTATAATTTACCGGAGTCTAGTGTATACATACATATATCATAAAGCCAAATAAATTACCGTTATTCAGGGTCTTTAGACAACATTTAGACAAACTTTAAGGGTAGAAAAAGGTAATTAAGCAGTTTAAGAATTAGATAGCAAGCCATCACCGGAAATGTCGTC